GAAATTCTTGTTTATTTATCTATTTATTCTAACTAATTAATTAATTATTTGATTTTTAGCCGGTTGGTCGTATGAAATTCTTTACGGCAATATTAAAAGCTTCCGAGTCGCTGAAATCACCACTAGAAAGGATGTTTACAACGAGTTCTCTAAGAAGTCATGATAAGAGATACTCGACATTTGAAGTAGGACCAGGTGGTGAAATATTATTCATACCAAATACTATGGAACTTGCAAGAATCGCATCTCAAACTGATGAAGGTACACCAAGTTCTGAAATATCAGAGCCAGATATTTATATACCATCACCGATAACTACTACTACTGAAGCTACTGATAGGAATAATAATATACTGTGGCAAAAACAAAAAACAACTGCAGGTGATTCCACTACTACTATTACTGGTAATGATGTTCTTAATAAGAAAGAGCCGGAGAAAGAGAAGAAGAAGAGAGATCCTAGTAAAGATTTTTCTTTTCTAATAGTTGAGGTAATTAACTAATATGTATTTTTATTTTTAAAATAATAATAATAATAAATAATTGAGATCATGTAGGATAATAATGTCAATGCAATGCTATCGAGTATGATGCTAAAACAACATGGCTATCGAAAATATGAAACAGCTAACAATGGGCTTGAAGGTAATTTATATAATTTATAATTTATTGAGGGAAAGAAAAGATATGTTAATGTTGGCGAAAGGATTTAATAATCAATATCTTAAATTTTTTTTTTTAGCTGTTAAAAAATTTTATAATAAACATTATGACATAATATTTATGGTAAAATTCTTTATATTTTATTTTTCTTTTGAGGAAGATGAAACTAATATTCTTTATTATTATTAATTTATATATATATGCGTGTAAATAGGATATTCAAATGCCAATATGTGACGGAGTAAGTTATTAAAAAAACTTTTTCCTAAAAAAAAAAAAATCAATCAAATCCATCATCATTAATAATACCTTTTCTTTCTCTAAAATAAAAAAAAAAGATTGAGGCTACAAAAGAAGTAAGCTTGTTTTTTAATTTATTTTTTGATTTTTTATACGCGGGTAAAAAAGAGAAAAAATGCATATAGATATAATTTAATTAATAATAGATACGAAAAATAGAAAAGGGAGAAGAATCATATTTGATAAATCGAAAAGATAATCTCGAACCTTTTTCTTCCACGAATAATAATAATGGCAATAATGAAGTAAAAATATTAGGAAAAGGTAATGTTAATGAATATAGGGGATGATGCAAATAAATATGTTTAATATTAAAAATAAAACTTATTTAAAGGAGATGGAAATAGTGAGGTGAAAAGAGCAGCACCAAAACGAAAAAGGAAAGCAATTATTGTTGCAATGACGGGACTTGCTTCAGATGTATGTATATTATGTATTATAAATCTAATTAATAACAGATACTAACTAATGATCTTTCCTTCAATAATGATAATGGGTAATATAGGCAGATATTAAATTATCGGTATAATCAATTTTTATTATAAATTTGTAATAATAATAATAATAATAATAATTTATTTTTATTATAATAATAATGATTATTATTATTTATTATTATTATTTAAAAAAAAATTTTTTATAGAATAAGTTATTAATATTTTTTTGTATATTGTTAATATTAATATTATAATAATTATATAATTATAATAATAATAATAATAATAATAATAATAATAACAATAACAACAATAATAAAAATAGGAAGTGGCTGGGTGTAATGAGCTTTTAACAAAGTATGTAGATTAATTTCTTTAATCAATAACATAAACAACTAATCTTCTAAAAATGATT